CTCGGGCAGGACCGTCGTCACCAGGTGCCGCCCGTGGGAGCTGCGGGCGCAGAGGGCTCCTGGCAGCTCTTCTGTCCCTGCCCTCCCTGGGGCCGGGGCTGCGCTCGCTGTCCCGTGAGGGCCCGGAGCTGCCCAGGCCCCTCCGTGGGCTCCTTCCCGTCACAGCTGCCACGCGGAGGACTTGGGTAACCTGCCTCATGGCACTCCCACCGCTCTCTTCTTCCTAGATTATTATTTTTAATTAAAAGGGGAAAATGAGGCCATTAAATGCTCCCCTCCAAATCAATTGATAAAACTCCGTTTTTATGCAATTATTGTTAATGTTTCATCAGAACATTTAGATGTAAACAGCTCATTTGACATCCCAAACGTCCAATTACTACTGCCATTTCAGCTACCTGTGACTTTTTATAGGTTATTTCTAGAGTCCTGTTTCAAGCACAGCAAGCTTTATTGTTAGGGGTGAAATTTAAACTTTAATAGGATTAAGCGTTTAATAGTATAATTTGCTGCATATGTTGCAAATACAAACTGCTATGAATAGATCTTCTGTAAAAAAAATTAAAAGAAGTAGAGAGCATTTGATATATTATATATAGACTTAAATCCAAGATGTTGTTATCTTTAAAGGTAATTATAAGAAGAAATTTGCAGAGAAGGGTTTATTCTATTAACTTTAATTTCTTTAAAACATTTCTCAACTGAAGTTGAATTTGGTTTCTGTATTTTGATTTTATTTAAAATGTGATGTACATAACTTCCTTTGTTCATTGAACATTAATCCAAAATCAGTGCAAGATTAGCTGTTTTTCATATATATGGAAGGAGAAAAACATTAGCAGAAGTAGTAGGTTAATATTTGTTTAAGTGGGGTATACTGTTTTTCTATTTGTCCTCACTCGCAGCAGACCTGAGTGCAAGGTTTCCTGTAATATTAGTGTTTTTTTTTTTTTAATGTAATTTTTATCCTTGGGAAGAAGCAGAGAGAAAGGAAAGAAAGAAAGAAAAAGAAAGGGAAGAAAGGACCCTTCCTGCCCTGTCTGTTTTCTCAGTCTTCATGAGGTGTTTGATTAATCTGCTAAATGCTCGCGATTGGTTTGGGTTCTTATGGCTTTTGGGCAGTTTGTAACCATTAATGAATAACTCTGGCATGTTTTGTGATTCACTGACCATATTAAATCTTCCTGTCTTAGGCATTTTGACTTACTGCAGAATTGCAGAGATTTTATTATTGCCCTATGCTTCCTTTTAAAGTTTGTAGTTGCTTCTTTGAGGATTTTATAAAAGTAATCTTGGCTTTTAAACTCTTTTTTTGGCTTTATTGTTTTACAGAATACTTTGCAGTTGACCACTTCCTCTGCTATTAAAGCTGGAGTAACATTAAAAATATTAGGAAAATAGCTGGATGTATCATCTTAATCCTAAGAAAGGAAAAGAGCACAGGCGAGGGATGAATCTCATTCAGCCAAATTTGGGCAGTTTTCTCTAAGAGGGCAGCAAATTTCAGACCCTGGGTGGATGTGTAGGAATCTCTTCAACCTTTTTACCAAGCACTATAAAAAGCTTGAATAGAGGCATGGAATAATTACAGCTGGAGTCAGGCTCTCTGGTTGGCATTTTTACACAGTAATCAGGATAAAGGAATATCTCTCTTGGCAAAAAGAGCTGGGCTCTGAAATGGAGATGTTTTGGACTGATAATTCCAAATATAGCCAGGCTTGCAGAGAAATACACAGGTTAAGCTTCATCTCTGGGTCTTGTTGCTTGGACTGGACTCTGTTGGGGCTTTCTGTAACAACAGGTAAGATCGTACAGAGCATGGGTGAAGCCAGGCTTTAAAAAGCCCCCCAGTCAGCTTCAGCGTGGCTTAACCGTGGCGGTGAGAGTCTCCTGCTGCTTAGGAGAAAGTCGAGAGAGCGACAACTGGGTTGAGTGAGAACAGATCAGCTGGGACATTAGCAGCACGGTGTTGAGAGTCGCTACGTTACCCCCCTGGAGGCTCTAGGTTTAGTAGTTTCTGGTGTCACAGACCTCTCCAGCCTGATGTGCTGGATATAGGGCAAAAGGAATCCTGTGTAATTAAATAAAAGGGTGGATGAATTTATTTCTCCAGCCTTTGCACAGTCCATTGTTCTTGGAGGCTGGCTGTATTTTGAAAAGTCTTAGAATGCTAAAGACAAACATATGAGAACCTGGAACCAAGCTAAAGCTTTAGATACTGAGCTGTTAGCGTTGGCTTCCTAGCTCACATTAGCTTGTACTGGCAAACTAAGAGCTGACTGCGGATAAGAAAATTCAGGGGAGGTTATTGCCACAGATCCATTCAAAAGTGCTCACGAATAGTTCAAAAATATTCCATAGGAAGAGTACCGCTTTCTAAATCTTTAAAAATTAAACTGTGCTGTCAAGATTTTGGTTTAACCTTATGCATAAATGCTAGTAGTAAGAGAGAGAAACCATTAGATATGTAGAAGTAGGTGGTTTTGCACAACTGGTTAGATATCAAGTGTGTATTTGGAATTCCTCATGCAGCCTTTGCCCTTGCTGGTTTTGAAAAGTCCTGGGCAGTGTCCCATGTCCTGCAAGAGGCACGGCGGCCTTTCAAAAGACAAGGTCAAGAGGGAAATCAAGATTGCGAACCCTGTTAGAATCCACTGCGTAGCACTTGCTTTTGAGAAGCTGTTTACATGAACTTTGCCTCCCGAGAAAATAGAAGTGTTCTCAGCTTCGCTGGAGCAGCGGAGGCTGAAAGAAAGAAGGGCCTTCTAAAATACGCGTCGCTTCCATGCAAAATGAGAAACCAGCTCTAAGAAAAATGCACTAATGACTTATGCTAACAGCATCAACACAAGTCAGTCCCTCCAACACCCTTAGGAGGGTTTTTGAGGAGTTGGACTACAAGGCAGTTTTGTATTCAAGTGTGTGTGTGTAACTTTGGAGTAGCCAATAAGCCCAGTGAAATGTCAGTAACTTAGGGTACGGAGTAAAAATCTAACTGCAGAGGGTGGTGATAACTTTTCAGGTTGTTAGAAAGGAGATGGAAACAAGGCAGCTTATTTCACTAGTCCTCTGTCAGGCCGGCATAAGCTTCTCTGCGGTATTTTGAAGGAGTAAAATGATTCTGTTGAATTTCCCATAGAAAGATGATATTGGAAAACAATGCAGGCCTCCGGCCATGTCTCCTCTGCCGTGTGCTGGGAGCCGTCCCTCGCGCAGGCCCCTCTGCTCGCGCACGGCCGTGCGGGTCGGGGAGGCCGCGGCCTCGCGCGGGCCGGGGAGGCCGTCCTCGG